CATCGAGGACGTCTTAAAGCGGCCGGTATTTTGCCAACAGAAGCATCACGAAAAAGAAGAACTCAAGTTCTTTTGCAACAACTGTGACGTTGCCATTTGTAATTTGTGTGTTGCAACCATCCATGATGGTCACGCTAAGATTGTTCTAGAAGAAGCAGCAAGTGAACGCAAGATACAAGTCAAGTCTGCGATCGAGACACAAAAGAAAAATATTGAACACAAGAAAAACGTAATCGCTGATCTTGAAAGACAGTGTGAACAAATTGAAGCGCGAGGCAATGCAGTGAAACGAGACATCCACAAGTTTGCTGAGAACATGATCTCACTCATTGAAACAAAGAAGAAGGAAATGTTAAACAAAGCTGATAAACAAATTAGAGAATCCCTTGGATGTGTGCGAACTCAACAACGCGAGGTCCAGCGTCAAGTCAAACTACTTGAAACAGCAGTCGAAAAAACGGAAACACTTTTAAAACGATGTACAAATGCCGAGATTACACAGTTAGATAAGTCACTGAATACGGTCTTACCTGAGGAAGTCAGTGATATTGGAAAACAAGCCGCGACTGACCTTGAAGGTCTTCGTCAATTCCTTTTCAAAGAAAACAAAACATTACTTGACAGTCTTAACTCTGACAACATCGGCTCATTTCAAACTTTTGTGACAAACACTTGCGCTCATCAGTCAACCGCCGAAGGGAAAGGAATCAGTGAGGCGAGAGTTGGACTTGAATTAAACTTTCTATTAACAACAAGAAATGACGAAGGAGAACAATGTTACAATCAGCGTGACTGTGTAAACGTGGAAATAAAAAATCAGCAAGGCCATGACTGTGCGACGGAAGTGCGACTCAAAGATGAGAAAGATGGTAGCTACAAAGTCAGATATTTCCTCAAAGATACAGGAAAATGCCAAGTATCAGTGAAAATAAATGAAGAACACATTCGTGGTAGTCCATTTCCTGTTAAACCGAAACCCAGACAGTTCAGACACGTGTTATCTTTTGGACAAAAAGGCTCGTCCGTTGGAATGCGATTCAGTCCATATGGAGTGGCAGTGAATGAACGAGATGAAATTGCAGTGACTGATATAGCTATCTCCAGGGTTCAGGTATTCAGTAGTGATGGAACTTACTTAAGATCTTTTGGTAGGAAGGGTGATAAACAGGGAGAGTTAAATTGGCCTGCTGGGATAGCATTTGATAAAAATAAACGCAGTATAGTAGTAGACAGTAATAACCACCGAGTTCAATTGTTTAATGATCAGGGTGAGTACCTGAGCCAGTTTGGTGGTGAAGGAAATCTTGATCACCAGCTGAGGGATCCTTTGGGTTTATCTGTCGACAGGAGTGAAAATATCATTGTTGCCGATTGGGGCAACAAAGTTATAAAAACCTTTTCTCTCAGTGGCCAGTTTTTGTATAAACTTGGTGAAGGTGAAGGTGAAGGTTTTACTTCTCCTTGTCACTGTATTCAATATGACAAATATCTAATAGTATCAGACGCTGGTGAACATTGTATCAAAGTGTTTGATATAAATGGCAACTTTTTGTACAAATTTGGAAATAAGGGGAAAATGGACGGGGAGTTAAACTCACCTGGTTTTTTGTCAGTTAACAAGGCAGGGCACCTGATGGTCTGTGACAGAGACAATCACAGAGTTCAGGTATTTGAACTGAGTGGTAGGTTTGTAACAAAGTTTGGAAAACAAGGGAGTGGGCCAGGAGAGTTCATGTGTCCAACATCTACAGCAATTCTTAGTGATGGTAGGATAGTTGTAGCTGATTGTTTGAACCATCGCATTCAGATATTTGAGTAAATGTGGATCATTTATCTACCATCACAATCAGACTACAAATTACTTCTAAAAAATTGTTTTTACCTAATCTTCAAATCATTTCTCGAATGAGCTTTTCGTCGTAGTCTCAGTGAAAAGAACATTGTAGAACTTTGAGTCAGTGGATTCCATTTTGTTCATTGTATTTTTATTAGTTATAAGTTCGTGCAATAGGTTTTCCATCACGCAAGAGAAAATAATGTTCCATTCTTTTTTCTCTTGCTCGCGGTAATCCCAAGAGAAGTATTTTCTTAGCTTGGTTTGTCTGCTTAAATACATGAAAATTAATTAAATGTAGATTAAAATGACCCGTTTCGAACTTTTAGAGAGAGGCCATTGGAAAAACAACGAGTCAACTGCAAAATGGTTATTGTCATTTTCAATCAAATTCGCAAAGATTTCATTTACAAATTGTCGTTGTTGCTTTTGTCGTTTTTCCATGAGCTCAGATGAATAACACTTTCATTTTTCCTTTGCTGTTGGCTATTTTCTTTTCTAATGGCTCGTCCTCCAGTTTACTTGTTATAAACGAATAATGCTGGTTTATCTGTGTAGAGTTACATGAAACTGCACGCCAATTCCAGTTGAACGGCTGATTAATGTTTGCGACGTGATTGTTTTATTCATGTAAATCTTGCAGTATTTGCCGAAAAAACGATAACTTTTAAGGCGGTACGTCATGAAAAGCTAGGGTTTTCTCTCTGTTTCGATTCACGTAAAAGGATCCTACCATTGTAATCTTTAGATTCTAGTTTTTTAGGCAAAAAAAGGGGTGAATATTATTATGATAGTGTATTCATTATTGAAAAAGAAACAAAAATTCATTAAAATTGTCAAAGAGCAAGGAAAATGTGAATCTGTTCCAATGTGTTTAATTATTTCAGTAGTATTTTGTACATAACTTGACTGCATGTTAAGTTTGATAAGAATTTTTTGAGGTAGCAGCGAAGCTCAAAGAATTACTCAGATATTGCCGATTACATTGCAAGCTCGACACATAATCAAAATCCACGGCCATATGTTGAATAAGCAAGCCACCTTCGCTTGGAGCTAGCGGCCTCTTTGAATTTTCATGCGGAAGATGCAGCGATAGGACGAACTCACCGACGCCCAATTCTTACTCTTCTCTGATTTACATCAGAGGTTTAAGCAGGTAGATCAGCTTCCTGAATTTTTCCAGCCAGAATTTAGCCATGGAAATAGCGAGCGAGGATCTTTACACCTCTGCAGAGCGCTTTGTTGAGGCTGCTTCATTCGATGCGCGCTGAAATCCACGATTTAATCGGGTTTAAATTCGTTCCAAGAGAATAAACACTTTATATTTTCTTGTCCGTTCTTTAACTGATGTCACCCCTAACTGATATACTGTTTATCCTTCTCACAATCTAGGATTTCGTATGCATAATAAGACACTTTTTACTGGTAACTAATTTCTTGCATCCTTGTCAGTTATCTTCCCATTGACTTTTTCCAAAGCAAGCGAAATGTCACTACCGAGTGCTTCATTGTAAAAGGAATCAGAATTGTCCCGCACTCTTTATAAGGTTAGGTTTTATTCAGTCAGTCAGGAGCAGTTCACTGAAGGATTGAATGTCAAAATTTGTTTCATTTAACATCATGGCGGGTTGAACAAGGCCTTTCCATGGTAATCGACTTTACAAGGAACAGCGATGAACAAATTACCTAAAATAGACTCTTAACTATCTGAATGGCATCTCGAGTCTTTTGATTAAATTCAGCTCTTATCACGTCTTTTTCTTTTCAATAGAAGATGCAAGGGCTCTTAAAACTGGTTCAAGTAAAAACATTTTAACTATCAGTGACTGTAACAATATACTCACCCCTGTGTTTAAGGGTAATTTATTTCCCTCTGTGGTCAAAGAGAAAATATAAGTTAATTAATATTTTTGAAAATCTTTGATGATCTCCAAAAACAGAATTCGCTAAACAAATCTCAAAACAATACTCGAAAGTTGCAAGTTCAGTTTGCGTTCAATTCTAAACTAAACTCCTTTAAGCTTCCTTTAAGCAACTGAGGAAAATGATTTCGTTTCTCTTCCACTTGTGTAGGAGATTTTCATACCCCGCAACAAAAACCACGTCTTTATCGTACCTCCTTCCCTTATTATCTTAAACTCTCTACAGAGGCACGATTTTACAAACATTCTCTTCGGTAGAAGAACTCTTCGAAGCTCGACACGTAATCAAAATGCTCGACCATATCTTGAAAAACTAGAAAGTCAACTGAAAGGTGGCGGGTTTCTACCATTACGGCAAACACGCAGACGCCCAATTCCACTTTTCTCTCCAAACTACATCCACAATTTTAATTAGGTGGACAGGTTTACTCCATCAATTTTACCGGCCAGTTAATCCCCTTAGAGTAGCAATTGAGGATCCTTTCACTTTTTCTGAGCGCCTTTTTGAGGTCCAATTTTTCATTACGCGCAGAAATCCAGGTCGCATGTTCATTCTGACGACAAAAGCGGTTTCTATCAGAGTTTATGATCTGAAACATCCCACCATCTTTCCCTCGTTTCGAAAAAGTTTCTTCCCCGTCAGTGTTTTCTACATCCACTGAATTCTTATACGCATGCTCCCATTTGATTCACCTTCCCTCTGCAGGCGATGTCACCCTCAACTTTTTACCCCCTCATAATCTAGGAGTTTTCCTCCAAGACACACTCCTTAAGGGTTTACTACAGTCAGGTCATGTTTATGAGCTCATATTGGTCATTCTGTTTTTGAAGCAAAAAGAAACAGTAGCGTGACTAAGAAGTGTTTTTTGGTGGAAATTGATATGAAAGATTTAGTTTTTTTACTGAAGTATGTTTCGTGTCTGAGTTTGTCGTCACTAGTTTCCATCCGTGAAACTGACGTGACGTCATATGATCTCCGACGGGAATCTTCGGTTCAGTGGTTCGGGTTTCGGGTTTCCTTTAGAAAAAACAAATATGGCGGATGTTTCTCTCTTAACCTTTTGCAGGTCTTTATGTTTTGCCTTGTACATCAAATAAAACTCTGAGTTACTTTTAATAAAGCTGAGAGCAACTGTTTATATTTTAGTGCGTATACCAGTGTGTATCACCGAATGGTGAATCAACGTCAGTTTGAAAGATGGCATATTCGATCGTAATCTTCCATCCGTGAAAGTGACGTGACATGCTGGGTGATCGTACTCGGCGATGAACGACAATTTGCCGAACATTGCCCTCGGATTTCCGAGCATTTCTTTCCCGCTAAGCTTCGTTCTTTGGCGGGCATTTTCAAATATGTAAATGCAGATTTTCTATTAAGGTTCCGCGACCGCTAAATCTGGAAGTTTAGTAAGAACTGTGATAGCCCAGCTAACCCTTTTAGAAATGGCTACGCCAGTAAATGTCGAAGAACGCCACACAGATGATCTTGTACAATTAAACAGTACTTTGAGTACTACTGCTCATGCGGTATGTTCGTGGGAGCCGAAGTTTAAAGGATCTACAAGCAAGTATGTTGGTTATGTCGAGTCAGTTGAAGCAGCCATGGCTGTGATAAAGCAATATGAGATAGAAACCACGACAAAGTTTTCCTGTTTTAAATCTGACAAGATGTTTGGGGCTGGAGGTGAGTCTATTATGCATGCAAACATGGGAAAAATATACATCTAGATTGGGGGGCATAGGCGAACGAACAGAAGGGGGGGGGAGGCGGCAGCCCCCAGTCGTAATTTTTTTTTCGGACAAAATTACCCTGCGAACAGAGTCTCTTCGATCTTCTTACCCGACTGATCTAGGAAGATCGACTCTGCTCGCTGGGTAGGACAAAATGCCCATGATTCCAGCAAAAGCACTTGGAGAAAACAAACAAAAAATCTCATTAATTAATAAAATGGGTTTCAAGAATTCAAATTTGGATTCTGGAATTGTGACACTAGTTTCGTGAGACACGATAATTTTAAACAGTTAGTTTTTTTTTTTTTTAATTTAGGTCAAGGTCACCACCTTCCCAAGTCCGAAAGGTGCGCCCATACGCCTATGGGTGTGTGTGTAGGGGGGGGGAGGTTACTCCCATAGTGGACTATGATCATGAATGTTGAGAGGCTGTGCATGAAAGGGTTACCTTTTTCAGGTCAAAAGTAGTAGATGAAAAGATAAGGGTTTGGACCACTGGACAGATCCCCCCTATATAAAAAATTATTGAGTAGAACCCCCCCTCCCTCTCACTGGGATGTCCAGTAATATCTGTCTAAAAATTACAACTAAGGTTAGCTGATGTTTGTATTGTCATATAGGCTTATTGACTTTATTAAGAACGAATTTCACCTGATCTGAAAAAAAATGTGTGGGTTCTTGCTGGATTCAACTGTAGCTTACGTGCTTGGGTTAATCAGGTGAGGGCTATGGATGAATATTAGATAAAGGTGAAGTAGGTAAAAAAAAGAAACAAATTGTGTCATTTAATCTTTGAAATAAAGAACAGAAATGCTTGATAAAATGACCAGTGCATTAAATAAAATACAAACAAAAATTCTTTCTTTGGATGTTGTCACAGATCCCTTTGCCAAGCCAAGAAAAGTTTATTTTAAAGATGACAAAATCCCATTTGATGGAGTGCCCTTCAGTATCATTGGCTCAAAGGTGTTTGACTGCCAACATGGTCCAGACAGAAAAAAGGCATTCAAAGCAAGACAAGCCAATGAGAAGGTATGTTTTTGACAAATTAAAATTCCAAAAAAAATCTATTTCTTCCCCATCTAAGTAACCTTTTGTTTTTGTTTGTTTCTTTTCTTACATTATAATTATTATTTCTTCTTAACTACAGGCTGGCGATCACTCCTTCAAAAAGAAGAGATTTTTACCTCAAGACACCATGAAATTCGGGTGCACTGCAAGTATTCGTCTATCAGAAGTTATTACATATCCAAGTTACAAGGTACTTTAGTCTGTAAACAATGAGATGATGATGATGATGAAGATGATGATGATGATGATGATTATTATTATTATTACTATAACTATTGCTGTGTGCTATTGATAGCGATGTTTTCAACATATTTTTAAGTATAGTAACCTCAATACTCATAATTTATTATTAGTCTGTACTAAATTACAAGTAAAAGTTTTGTTAACAATAACTCTTTACAAGTAGATCAGGGATGACACAGAGAGACTTCGACGGGACATGTCCAAAAAGCTAAAGACTGATACCAACAGCGGACAAAAACCTCCATATGAACGTAGAATCTATATCTACCTACCAAAGGAGGATGAACACAAAGACCATATCACTGGCGAGGTTTGTTAAGCACCCGTCCGATGAATGGTCTTACAAGTAAACCTAAGATCATTTTTATAAATTTTTCTGAGACAATGAGACAATGGTGAATTTTAAGCTTGGAAATAAAACTGCTGAACCTAGCAGTATGCATGCAGGATGCATGTTAAATGGGCTGGCTCTCCGGGAGTTCTTGTAGCTCACTGGAAAGAGTTTCTGCCCGACGTTTGGGATATCATGGGTCAATTTCTGTCAGGGACTCAGCTTTGTTTCTTTGCTTCATGCTTGTGTCATGTTGATGCTATCATCCTTTTCACATTTTTCTGTACTGTCACTTACTTTCTTAATCTACCGTTTTGTCTATTAAACTGTATTTTGATTTTAAGACAGGATCAACAAAATAAACAAGTTCATTCTGATTAATTTGTGCCCATAATTTAAAAGGAAAGTCAGGTCATCATGCAAAGTGTAATAAGTCGATACCAGAAACTGTAATCTAAAGTAACCATGCCAGTAGCAATATACCTCTAATCGGATGCCACTGACATCCTGAGTAGAATAATTATTACTCTACTCAGGCTCAGTGACAACTATTCCACAATATTGGCATAACCTCGTGCGGATCATCGACCATTCAGTATTATTATTAATTATACATATTAAATTATATATTTGTATAGTTATTAACACAAATTTTTTCCTTCTTTTTCAACAAATAAGGTTGGTGGTCTTCTGCAACCAATTGACAAACGGCTTGTAGACAAGATTGAAGAGCTTGTTGGTGAAGGTGTTAAAACTGTTGATGAAAGACACCTTAAACAGTTTGTGAAATGTGAACTTTTTCCAGGGCAAACTCCACCTCCTATTACAAACAGGCGCTTCTATCCCACAGATGTGGATGTCAGGAACCACATGTACAGGGCATCGGTAAAAAAATTGCTGTCCAAAGTGGATCAGGAAAACCTGCAAAGGAAAATAGAAAATTGGCGTGAGGAGCATCCTGAGGACTCGTTCTATTTTCGACCCAGTGCTCTGTCTACCTCAGCTACTGCCGAAACAGGAAGTGAAACAGATGAGACTTGTGAGCAGACTGAAGAACTCCTCTTTGCACATCAAACAGCCTGGCAGAAACATCTTATGAATCTTTATGGAAATGAAATATCCCTCCTTGATGCAACCTACAAGACAATGAGATATGACCTACCATTATTTCTTCTGGTTGTCAAGACAAATGTTAACTACACGGTTGTGGGATGTTTTATAATTCAAAGGGAAACAACAGCTTCCATTCAGGAAGCACTGGAAATCTTTCGAGATTGGAATGAAAGCTGGAAGCCACGATATTTTATGACTGACTTTTGCCAGGAGGAGATTAATGCCATTGAGAGCACATTCCCAGGTAAGAATGCTTCAATAAAATATATGTTAACCTTAGACTTCAATTGATGTGAGTGGCTGATAAGAGCATCCTAATACATTTGCTGACCACAAGGGCTAACTGCATATTTTTTTTGGCAATTTTCCCCTTGTTGAAGACCTACTTTAGAGACTAAATTAAAAAATATGGTTAAATGTGGTTTAACATGTAGAACAGTTATTATAACTTTGGAGATAATAAGAATTGTTTAATCTGGATGGCTTACCATTAATCATAACCAACCAGTTCATATATATATAGTGTCATAAAGAAAAGGTTTTACTTATAGGTTTCCAATATTTTCAAAAAATACAAAAATTGTATCCAAATAAAGATTTTATGAAGTTAATTTTTTATTTAATAGATACCACAACATATATCTGTGACTTTCACCGAGAACAAAGCTGGGAGAGATGGCTGAGAAAAACTGAAAATGGTTTGTCAGAGAGCAGGGAGGAGGTCCTAAGTCTGCTTCGTAATGTTGCCAAATCATCAACAGAGGAAGCATTTCAAGACAATCTGTCCTCACTTAAGGAGAGTGACCTTTGGTTAGCCAATCCCAAGCTTAAAAATTGGTTTGAAAAAACCTGGTTGGTAGAGGCCAAGGTAAGTAGTGTACACACATCAAATATTTGCTTGGGTTTTCTCTGTCACTTTCAGTAAATAGTGCAGGACCATTCTCAGTCAGTGTTTTCCACAGAGCATAGTATTGTCCATATGTCTACTAGCAGTTTGATATTAAAAAAACCTATTGACAATATTGATAAGGTACACATCTGTTGGATTGTCATTGCCGCCATTGGCTTGTTATTTAATATCTAAAAGCCTGAAGGAGACAATGCATGGTGTGACTTTTTACAAGTTTTTGTAACACAGCAACAACAATTTGAATACTGTATTAGTGATTTATTGATTCATTTTGTAATTATTTATTATGTCATAAATTTGGCACAATAAACATATGATGCCCAAGCATGCAGCAAGGGAGAAATATAATACTTTTGAAAAGATTAAATTTCCTGTAACCTGTTCTGTTACAGAGATGGGTGTGGGCATTTAAGCAGGACAGATTCCTGGTCAGTATCAACACCAACAATGGAACTGAACGCCAGAATGAATCGTTGAAATACCAATATTTGAAGGACCGCAATAACAACAGCCTTAGCGGGATGATTACCTTAGTGACAGAGGAGTATTTTCCAGACAAATGCAGAAGGTACAGTAACTGTCAAAGACAGACAAAACATCACTGTTAACCATTTTGAGGTGGGGAATCACTTTATCATGACCAAAAAAAAAGCACAATTGCACAGTTTGAGTGAAGTTTTTATGACAGTGTGTTTGAATTTTTTGAATCTCATACAATTCCTTAAAATTTCTCAAAAATTCAGACTGCGACAAAGAATCACTCTCTAATGTCAGGCCCCTAAAACTTGGCCATTTTGTATTTTTGAATGCTCTTGGGGTTTCGAGGAATTAGTCTATTTTTTAACACAATATTTTTTCATTATTATTGACAAGGTCACTTGACTCTTATGAGCAAAGAGATAGCCAGTTTCAAGCTATTGAATAGTCGGGGGCTAATGAAAAAGTGGGTGGTCAATGGAAAAAAATGAGCCTTTCCCCTCGTCCCCTCTTTTTTTTTTTTTTTTAACTCACTTAGCTATTTGAGAATAATGGCCCAACAACAATACCTCTACAAACTTGCAATTCATATTCTATCAAAACGTTAAGTAAATCGGAAGCGATGATCTCTCCATCTAAGCAGCTTGCATGTCAACCTTTTTCCTCTCTCTTTCTATTTTTGTTAGGTATGTGGAGCTAAACACAAAGTTTAGTGGAGGCTACAAGCGTTACAGCTTGACCCTACCCAAATACCTGCACAACAAACCAAGACCTTTCCTAAACCACTGTGAGAAGCGGATAAAACATGCAAGCGAAGTTCAATCAAAACACATCAGAGAAGAAGAAGGCGGAAATTTCAAAGTCCAGTCCCAGACAGATGAAGTTTGGTACGATCTTTCTTTTGGTTCTGAGAATATCATGCCAAGATGTACCTGTCCTGATTTTTGCCACACTGGGCTGCTATGTAAGCATTTTTTTGCAATATTTGACCTGTATCCAATGTGGCAGTGGGATGCATTACCAGAAAAGTTCCGACAAAACCCTCACATCTCACTAGACTGGGAACATGTCTTTGTTGATGCTAATAAATATAAAGCTACCGATGAGTCCACTGAGGAAGGAAATAATGGCATTGGCGAAAATCTTAAAAGGGATCTACAAGGTCAAAGAACTGGCATACCCAGGCAGAGAGCCAGAAATCCTGAAGACCCAATAAGGCAGGAAGCAATGGTGTGTAGAGAGAAACTAAAAGAGCTAACATCAATAACATACAACATTGAAAATTTAAATGGCCTTAAGGAACTTAATACTTCTCTGGAATTATTAGTCAACAAGTTTAAAAAATGCCAAACAATTGATGAAAAGGAAAACTTTCCACAGACATTGCTCAACAAACAGGTTAAGTCAAATGGTAAATCATCTGCTGGGCATTACCTTCCACTACCTGTGCGGCCCAAGAAAAACCGGTACAAAAACAGAGTTGGGGCATTTGCATCTATGATGCAAAAGCACTACAAAGTGAATGTCCCTGTGAATGGTGCCTCTAGTACCTCTGACAAAACCCAAACCAAAAAAAGTCTGAAAAGAAATAACAAATCAGGCCTCAAATATTCCACACCAGCTAAGAAACAATGACGAGACTGGGGACAACCACCCCAGAATGTGCCGACATTGAATAGTGAAACATCCTCTTCCAATGGCATAAATGATGCTCCCACTCCTGCACCCACAGAAAATTCAAAACCACAGTCAGCTCCACAGAAGCACACTCTCCTGAATGAATCTGGTGAATCAGCTAAAGAAAACACAGATGAGCACAACTGCAACAGTCCTTGTGATCCAGTCATCCATTCCAGTAAATCACCTGTAAAAAATCTGAAAAGAAACAACAAATCAGGCCTCAAATATTCCACACCAGCTAAGAAACAACGACGAGACTGGGGACAACCACCCCAGAATGTGCCGACACTGAATAGCAAAACATCCTCTTCCAATGGCATAAATGATGCTCCCACTCCTGCACCCACAGAAAATTCAAAACCACATTCAGCTCCACAGAAGCACACTCTCCTGAATGAATCTGGTGAATCAGCTAAAGAAAACACAGATGAGCACAACTGCAACAGTCCCTGTGATCCAGTCATCCCTTCCAGTAAATCACCTGTAAAAAATCTGAAAAGAAAAAACAAATCAGGCCTCAAACATTCCACACCATCTGAGAAACAACGACGAGACTGGGGACAACCACCCCAGAATGAGCCATCATTGAATAGCGAAACATCCTCTTCCAATGGCATAAATGATGCTCCCACTCCTGCACCCACAGAAAATTCAAAACCACATTCAGCTCCACAGAAGCACACTCTCCTGAATGAATCTGGTGAATCAGCTAAAGAAAACACAGATGAGCACAACTGCAACAGTCCCTGTGATCCAGTCATCCCTTCCTGTAAATCACCTGTAATTATTGTCAATGATGATTCTCCTGATCCTCCATTGTGGGTGAAATTAGAAAATTGCAATCCTGATGATCCTGAATCTAAACTAATTCTTTATCACGCAAGCAAAAGTAGTATTCTCAACAAAACCAGCTGGCTAACAGATTCAGAAATCCATGCAGGGCAGCTTCTCCTAAAGAAAGAATTTCCATTTCTAGATGGCCTAAATGATACAACAATCACTGGGTCACATGTTGTGCCTGCTAGATCTGACTTTGTTCAGATTGTAAATACTGGGTCACACTGGGTGTGCCTCAGTACAATAGCAACAAGACCAGCTAGTGGCACTGTAAGGATCTTTGACAGCCTTTACCTTAAACCCAGTTCAATAGCAATCAAACATGCTTGTCGCATGTTGATGTTTCCTGGGGATCAAATCACCCTTATAAATGAAAAGGTCCAGAGACAAGTAGGTATCAATGATTGTGGCCTATTTGCTCTGGCCTTTGCAACTGACCTCTGCCATGGTTTAGACCCTGTTAATCAAAAGTATGAACAAAAATCTATGCGGCAACATTATGTCCGCTGCCTGGAGAATGGAGCAATGGTGCCATTTCCGAAAACAACAAGGAGAGTTCCTTTTCATATCAGCTGCAACAAATCATCTGTTGCTATCTAATGTCTATGTAGAATGCCATATGATAAAGAGGAATATGTTCAGTGCAGCTACAGATGCAGAGCATGGTATCATACTTCTTGTGTCAACATACCAGAGTGGGCTATTAACAGCGGTAGAAAGTGGAAGTGTGGCAAATGCAGAGAAGCTACAAAATATTAAAGGAACTGAGTGACCAACATGTGTCTAGCAAAAAATCTGCAAGTCTTAGACATCAGATATTTTAAGTTTGTCACTTGAAACCATTCCTCTCATTTGCAATTTCATCACAGAACTTTTTTGTGAAGGTCATTGTCATAACTGTGTTACAGAAAATTTTCATATCTCCCTCACACCCAACAGAAGGGGCTTTTTTAGGTTAAAGTCCCTTTTAAGAAATCTCAGTTTAGCGCCATAGTTTCCCAAAAAAATATTGGTTAAACAGTCAGTGGCTGCAACTTATAGTGATCTTCTAGAGATGGGTATCTATTTTTGGAACCACACAATTTTGAAGTAATCCAAAAATGGTTTAAAATATTGTGATACAATTTTTTAAAAAAAAAAAGGATACCAAACTGCAGTTTAAATAATTGTGCGAGTAATCTATTTACAAGTGTTCCAACTGAAATTTGTTTAAAAAAGTCAACAGACAAAATAATTTGAAAAAAAACAGTTGTTGGAGAAAATTTTTAAAGTTATTTTTAACTTTAAATTTCACCACATCTGTTATGCTTGCCACCACATGTGTTATGCAAAAAAATAAGTTTGGTAAAGCATTTGCTTTAATTATACTTGTTGAGTATTATGCTGTTTTGAGGGCTAACCATTGTTACCAACTTGCATGGTGGCAAATAGTTTAGTTGTTTTTCAACTGTATGACTTAAATGATATTGTATGGTTAATATCTACTGTTTCAGTTTTTACATTTTAATAAGCTTACTTGAAGCTTAGTTCTATAAATTTGTGTCAACATAAAAAAGTGTACCTAACAATATTAGTTTGGTCTGTATTTACATGTACCGTAACTAGTAAGCTCATGTTTCCATTAACAGGCTATGACCTTATTTGCATTTTAGGAAAAAAAAAAAGTTTAATCTTGCATTCTCTAAAAAAGAAATTTCAGTAAAGAAATTTTTATGGTAAATTTATAAAAACAAGGATGGTAATTTCTTATAGCATGCCTACCAGCACTTCAGGCAGACAGACCTTAGTACATTTACCGCTAACTCTCGACCAAACTTTCACCTTCATCTAGTCTTATGTCATTTTGATGGATGGCCCATCTCTCCATCGACCAAAACGACGTTTCTTCAGAAATGTGAATAACATTACAAGAGCATTTCCTTGCAAATTCCTAAATGAACAAAATAATACGAAGATTGTTCTTTACAATTGTTATTATGATTAAAGATTGTATACTCACCATTCACCGTTCACACCATCTCCTCAATCTCCGTACTCATGGTAATCGCCTCAAGCTTTACAAGCGACTAAATACAGGAATGGCTCCGACCTGTAATTGGATGATAAAAATAGTAAAAGTTAATAAGTTATATCTTAACTCTTTGCCCGTGAGTATTGTTAACCGCGTGTCTCTAAGCGGAACAATGAAATATCAATGCGAGTGAAAACACCGATCTGTAAAAAAAGAAATGATTACTTACGTAGCGAAGGGAAGGCAGCCTTTCTTATTCAGCGATGTCGTTCAGCAATATTCCAGCGATGAAAAAGTCATCGGCTAACAAGCTCCGCTGACAAAACTCATTTGGTCAGTTCAGGCGGACGACCAGAGACTGGAGCCATTCCTGTATTTCACCGCTGACAGGAATAGCTCCGACTCAAACGTTTATTAATTTTTTTTTCAATAACTTTTTAGTAATTTTAAAAAAAAAATTTTAAAAATTTAAAACTAAAATGGTGAGCAGTGCTGTACGAACAGTAGTTGTAAAACTTCTTTATTCTCTGACGCGTTTCGTCAAACTCTCGTAACTTCGTAAAAAATTAATATACGCATGAGTTGGAGCCATTCCTGTCAGCGGTGAAATACAGGAATGGCTCCAGTCTCTGGTCGTCCACCTAGACAGACTAAATTAGTTTTGTCAGCGGAAATTGGCAGCAGATGACTTTTTCATCGCCGGAATATCGCTGAACGACCTAGCTGAAGAAGATAGACTCTGCCTTATCTTCGTTATGTAAGTAGCCATTTCTTGTTTGACACGTCGGTGTTTTCGCATCGATATTTCATTGTCCCGCTTCGGTACACGCGGTTAACAATACTCACGTGCAAGGAGTTAGATATAACTTATGAACTTTTACTATTTTTATCATCCAATCACAGGTCGGAGCCATTCCTGTATTTAGTCGCTTGTTCAAGCTTTAGTGTCCGCCATATTTGTTTTTACGAATGGGAACCCGATCACTGTGCCGAAGATTCTCGCCGGAGATCATATGACGTCACGTCAGTTTCACAGATGGAAACTAGTGACGACCGTCTGAGTTTCGTAATCCTTTAATTTGGGGTCGTTACAGGTCAAGCTTTTCTCAGAAATAACCTACCTGTAAACAACTCTTAGAACCCAGACATCCACAGCATGTATAACCTGCCTTGATTGGTCGATATCACTGATGCGATAAATATGATAATTGATATCAAAAAGCTTCGCTTGGGGCGACTTGAAGTTAATGTCTCTACCTTAGTCAGTTGTACTCAATCATGGATATAAAAACCTTGCTTGACAATCTTCATGAAGAAGTATCCTGTTCTGTGTGTATGACCACATTTACTGATCCAAAGATACTGCCATGTTTGCACACTTTCTGTCTGCACTGCTTAAACGGGATTTTACGAACAAGTGGCCGCTATGACATCTTCCCATGCCCTGAATGCCGAAAGGAAGTTCAAGTTCCTAGCAGTGGAAAACTCAAAGATCTGCCAACAAACTTTCGTATGAACAGTTTGCTAGTGAACGCAAGATACAAGTCAAGTCTGCGATCGAGACACAAAAGAAAAATATTGAACACAAGAAAAACGTAATCGCTGATCTTGAAAGACAGTGTAAACAAATTGAAGCGCGAGGCAATGCAGTGAAACGAGACATCCACAAGTTTGCTGAGAACATGATCTCACTCATTGAAACAAAGAAGAAGGAAATGTTAAACAAAGCTGATAAACAAATTAGAGAATCCCTTGGATGTGTGCGAACTCAACAACGCGAGGTCCAGCGTCAAGTCAAACTACTTGAAACAGCAGTCGAAAAAACGGAAACACTTTTAAAACGATGTACAAATGCCGAGATTACACAGTTAGATAAGTCACTGAATACGGTCTTACCTGAGGAAGTCAGTGATATTGGAAAACAAGCCGCGACTGACCTTGAAGGTCTTCGTCAATTCCTTTTCAAAGAAAACAAAACATTACTTGACAGTCTTAACTCTGACAACATCGGCTCATTTCAAACTTTTGTGACAAACACTTGCGCTCATCAGTCAACCGCCGAAGGGAAAGGAATCAGTGAGGCGAGAGTTGGACTTGAATTAAACTTTCTATTAACAACAAGAAATGCCGAAGGAGAACAATGTTACAATCAGCGTGACTGTGTAAACGTGGAAATAAAAAATCAGCAAGGCCATGACTGTGCGACGGAAGTGCGACTCAAAGATGAGAAAGATGGTAGCTACAAAGTCAGATATTTCCTCAAAGATATAGGAAAATGCCAAGTATCAGTGAAAATAAATGAAGAACACATTCGTGGTAGTCCATTTCCTGTTAAACCGAAACCCCGACAGTTCAGACACGTGTTATCTTTTGGACAAAAAGGCTCGTCCGTTGGAATGCAATGCAGTCCATATGGAGTGGCAGTGAATGAACGAGATGAAATTGCAGTGACTGAAATTGGTAACCACAGGGTTCAGGTATTCAGTAGTGATGGAACTTACTTAAGATCTTTTGGTAGGAGGGGTGATAAACAGGGAGAGTTTAATTTTCCTACTGGGATAGCATTTAATAAAAATAGTCGCAGTTTAGTAGTAGACAACAACCGAGTTCAATTGTTTAATGATCAGGGTGAGTACCTGAGCCAGTTTGGTGGTAAAGGAAATCTTGATCACAAGCTGAGGAATCCTTTGGGTTTATCTGTCGACAGGAATGAAAATATCATTGTTGCCGATGCGGGCAACAAAGTTATAAAAATCTTTTCTCCCAGTGGCCAGTTTTTGTATAAACTCGGTGAAGGTGAAGGTGAAGGTTTTACTTCTCCTTGTCACTGTATTCAATATGACAAATATCTAATAGTGTCAGACGATGGTGATCATTGTATCAAAGTGTTTGATATAAATGGCAACTTTTTGTACAAATTTGGAAATAAGGGGAACAGGGACGGGGAGTTTCGCACACCCAGTTTTTTGTCAGTTAACAAGGCAGGACACCTGATGGTCTGTGACAGAGACAATCACAGAGTTCAGGTATTTGAACTGAGTGGTAAGTTTATAACAAAGTTTGGAAAACAAGGGAATGGGCCAGGAGAGTTCAAGGCTCCAATATCTACAGCAGTTCTTAGTGATGGTAGGATAGTTGTAGCTGATTGGTGGAACAATCGCATTCAGATATTTGAGTAAACGTGGATAATTTATCTACCATCACATTCAGACTACAAATTACTTCTAAAAAGTTGTTTTCACCTCATCTTCAAATCATTTCTCGAATGAGCTTTTCGTCGTAGTCTCAGTGAAAAGAACATTGTAAAACTTTGAGTCAGTGGATTCCATTTTGCTCATTGTATAGTTACAAGTTCGTGCGTTAGGTTTTCCATCACGAAAGAGAAAATAATATCCCACTTTTTTTCTCTTGCTAACGGTAAACCTAAGAAAAGTGTTTTCTTAGCTTGGTTATTTTGCTTAAATAAATGGAAATTAATTAAAAGTAGATTAAAATGACCCGTTTTGAACTTTCAGAGAGAGGCCATTAGAAAAACAATAAGTTAACTGCAAACTGGTTATTGCCATTTTCAATCAAATTCGCCAAGATTTCATTTACAAATTGTCGTTGTTGCTTTTGTCGTTTTTCCATGAGCTCAGATGGACAACACCTTCTTTTTCCTCTGTTGTTGGCTATTCACTTTTCTAATGGCTCGTCCTTCAGTTCACTTGTTATAAACGAATAATGCTGGTGTATCTGTGTAGAGTTATAGGAAACTGCACGTCAAAGTGCAGTTTCATGTAACTCTACACAGATACACCAGCATTGAATAATGTTTGCGACGTGATTGTTTTATTCATGTAAATCTTGCAGTATTTGCCGAAAAAATGATAACTTTTACGGCGGTACGTCATGAAAAGCTAGCCCGGGGTTTTCTCTCTGTTTCGATTCGCGTGAAAGGATCCTACCATTGTAATCTTTAGATTCTAGTTTTTTAGGGAAGGCAAAAAAAAAAAAGGTGAAAAATTATTATGATAGTGTATTCATTATTGGAAAAGAAACAAAAATTCATTAAAATTGTCAAAGAGCAAGGGAAATGTAAATCTGTTCCAATGTGTTCAATTATTTCAGTAGTACTGTACTGTACATAACTTGACTGTTAAGTTTGATAAGAATTCTCTGAGGTAGCAGCCAAGCTTAAAGAATTACTCAGATATTGCCGATTACATTGCAAGCTCGACACATAATCAAAATCCACGGCCATATGTTGAATAAGCAAGCCACCTTCGCTTGGAGCTAGCGGCCTCTTTGAATTTTCATGCGGAACTGATGCAGCGATAGGACAAACTCACCGACGCCCAATTCTTACTCTTCTCTGATTTACATCAGAGGTTTAAGCAGGCAGATCAGCTTCCAGAATTTTTCCAGCCAGATTTTAGCCATGGAAATAGCGAGCGAGGATCTTTACACCTCTGAGGAGCGCTTTTTTGTTGAGGCCGCTTCATTCGAAGCGCGCTGAAATCCACGACTTTAATCGGGTTTAAATTCGTTCCAAGAGAATAAACACTTTATATTCTCAAGTCCGTTCTTTAACTGATGTCACCCCTAACTGATATACTGTTTATCCTTCTCACAATCTAGGATTTCGTATGCATAATAAGACACTTTTTACTGGTAACTAATTTCTTGCATCCTTGTCAGTTATCTTCCCAATGACTTTTTCCAAAGCATGCAAAATGTCACTACCGAGCGCTTCATTGTAAAAAGGAATCAGAATTGTCCCGCACTTTTTATAAGATAGTTGTTCACTTTTCGCTTTCAATAACATCTTCCCTTTTGACGAGTGTTTTAATTAGTCAGTCAGGAGCAGTTCACTGAAGGATTGAATGTCAAAATTTGTTTCATTTAACGTCATCAGTTAATCGCACAGAAGGCGTGTCATTCATGTATGAGTTGTTGCTTCCTAGCCTGTGAACAGCCACCCCTTACCCTCCAAATGAAAATCGTAGGGGCCCCTTCCCGATTTTCATTTGCATGGTAGGGGGCAGCTGTACACAGGCTATTGCTCTCCATATCTCATTGGGTGTAAAAGGCATCAATAAGGGCTCTCTAGGTGTCTGTCGTGGAATTTACTGTTCATCTTGCCTCAATTCAACCGCAAACGATAACCACATAGTGTCAACCTTCTTCATGAGCAACTATCTCCGAGATAAGCCACAATGTCTTAAATTTTTGCAGTATTCTGTAGCGAAATGCTTTTCACAACATAGAGTTACTAGTCTCCTCATTTTCCTTTCTTATTTGGGTTTGAGACTGGCAATGGCAGAGGTCTGAGGCATCTACTTTTTGTATAAATGTATTGGTACCATTAATTTTACTTATTCTATATTGTTATTTAAACTGATTTTGGGTTTGCAAGATTTCTCCCTGGTGAAATAATGGCGGCTACTTTATGTGGATCTCCTATGTACATGGTTTGTGTAAACTGTTGAGATATTCTGAGTTCCTGAGTTGCATTAATTTTACTACTATGTGTTTCTTTAGGAACTATTTAGGAATAAAGTTTCACCCTTCATTAAATTAGTAGTGGTGAAACAGTCTTTGTGAGTGAAAATGATTGCTCTGACGAAGGACTAACACTCGAAATGTCAGCTTTTTTACTCTGTATGGTGGCCAATTTACGTTTTCAACTCAGTTGTTAACACTAAATTACCTGCTATACTCTCCCAGCACCACAGTTTCTTTATAAACTCACCCCCTTTATTCATTCGTGAGTGAAGATGGATTATTTGAAGTAATATTGCTGCCATTTTGGACTGCAGAATTCTTCTAATTTGTCATTATCTGTAAATAAGCAGGAACTCAAAAAAATAAAACAAAACTACCTAGTCAGCAATTATGGGAAGAACCCTGTGTTGAAAACATTTTTTGTTCTAAAAATTATATATACTGAATGACATGTGTTCGAAATTCCAATTCCCTTTCACACTTTTGATATATTCATTTACCTTGTTTATTTTCCATTTTTGTCATTCAATGCTCCTGAAGTTATAATGTCCAAAGGATATATGATGCCAAAGCTGATCTCTGGAGTGTAGGGACAATTGTTATCAGTGTCTCACTGGTAAAGCCCCCTTTCAGGTGCTCTTACATACCACGACATTAAAAGGCCAATTGTGACAAACTTTTTCAGTGTTAAATAAGATGAAAATCAATGATTTTTTCGATTTTGTCATTTTCCAGGCAGCCCTCAACTGTCAAAGAAATTTTACGAAAAGAGCAAATCTGTTTCTCCAAAGTGAGTGGCAAAATGGCATGTTAGTAATTTTTCAATTCTTGATCTAAAAGTACTTCAGTCTGTGCCTGCTTGTTTGGTAGATGCAATCTGATTACCGCACTAGTAGAAGATATCATATTTATTTCATGCTTTATCAATTAATGAGTCTTATTTTATCCATGAATAGTAAACAACTGTTTCTGGTAACCTCAGTATACCAGTGGGTACTTCAAACCACTTGAAAGACCTACTTATTGGATTACTAAGAAGGAATCCTTGTGAGAGGCTGGATTTTGGTAAACAATTATTACATCTTTGTTTAATTTACTGTTACAAAAACACAAAGCTTGTTCCTGGCAATTTGAAGGTGAATGGTATAAGGTAGATTGAGGCTAAAATGTATGAGAAAGTTTTATTTTCTCTAAAAATGATGGCATCATCTAATTTAACCACAAATCTTTCCATTTACTCATGTGCAATCAGTAACTCTAAGTTTATAAAAATGAGTTACTGCTCAGGTGATAATCTGAGAACAAGACTGAGCACAGATGAGAGAAGAGAACAGTATCATTTTAAGCTGAAAATCAAGTTTCCTAGGCTATGAAGATTTAGATATATGAAAATTCACATATTTGCACTGCGGTGGAAAGATGAAATTAGAAGATCCTCGCAGCTAAGAACACTACTGAAACTAGTAGTTGTAAGTAGGACCTGAAAAAAATTTCAGGCCCGTACGGGATTTGAACCCATGACCTCTGCGATACCGGTGCAGCGCTGCATCTTGTTGTAACTGTAACAATAAATTAGAATGAAGTTATCCTAAACTGCAGACTTAGCTGCTGTTTGTCTTTTTTCCTGGGCTCGCAGCTTCCTCTGTTGGCCTTGAATGAGGTTGTCTACAAGAAGCTTGACCATTTTGTATCTGCATGGATTCCATGACATCTGAATTGGAAAAAAGAAATCTCTGTTATGTTGAATGACTTTTATATTGGAGTTAGTACATCTCTCCCATAAATTTTACTAAAAAAGGGTTGAATACATTATTTTGTTTTCACCAAGGAGGGCTTCTTTATGTGATAAGGTCTGTTTAATCACAGTTTATATTATGAATCTTGAATGCTCCCAAACGTGACTAAAATAAAACCTGAAGTGAAACCTTAATGACAGATTTATTTCATTGTAAAGCATAAGCCTAAGAAACTGCAGCATGCAAGTGACCGATTCGATTCTCAGTTCGAGTTTCAGTTGCGCCGAGCGTTATGTAAGCTTAATTCAAGCCGTATTACTATTCTTTGATAAGATTTTGATCACGTAAGGAATATTGCAATTTGTACTCACCACAAACTTTCAAAATCGTAGCTTTATAAATGGCCACTCGACCCTTGTTTGTACCAGTCGATATGTCAAATGTTGTCCCTTCTTTAAACTCCACGGCGCCAACAACTTTCTTTTCATTTTCAACACTCACGCTGTTCTCGTTTTCCCATCAAACTTCGATAAAACCCATCTTTAGAAGTGTTATATTAGGCAAAAAAGTTTAGAAAAGAAATAACTTGACGTACGACCGATCAACGGTTGAAAAGTACATTAAAAAATGAGCAAGTCTTCTCTGTTTCCGATCGCGGGCATGATCACGTGGATCTTTTAGGAATTGTCATCGGCTGCCTGATAGCAGTGTCAAGAGAAGCGCACAACTTTACTGTGACTTCTTCGACCGGTTCTCTGCTTTTGGACAATGGATACCTTAAATCTATGTTTTGACGGTGATATAAATAATTATGTGAGCTCACTCTATGTAAAATCGATCGTACTACAAATGCACGAAAGTTGTCGGACAAACAAAGACTCAAAACCCACTTGAGTTGTGTTCATGGCAAAGGTGAGAAATATCACAAGCCAATCACAATTTTGAATGCGATTACTAATCGTGTTTTACCCTCATTTTTATAAAAGAAGGATACCACATTAGGAAATATAAGAGATACACAGATGATCCCAGTGTACCAGTACCTAAATCAACAAAGCTTGACCGTAACAAGCGTTCAGCGACACGTTCCAACACCGCCATCTCGATTTCTCAGTCTGTCGTTTCCACTGAACTTTAAGCAGTGGTGCTAACAGAGTCAAGTGCGTCTCATAAAGGAGAAACATTTGTACAAGAGACAGAAGTAACTATATGCGATTAGAGAGGTGCGTTGGAATTCTGGTCCACAAATTGTTAATGCACTGTCCGAAGTATAGACAATTTTGTTGATAACTGACTCAGAGGAGAACATCAAGAAAACTTTAGAGCTGTTATTATTGAAGTTTGACGTGCACTTTTCATTTGTATATAAAGAAGGACGTGTATTTTGCACCATCTGTGAACATGAGACATTTCGCATCGCAATAAAAACTTTTATGTTCATGGAATCCAAGAGTCTTCTGAGGTTAGAAAGCAAATCTGTAATATGAGTACATTGGATTAATTGGCAATTTGCA